ACACACTCATAATGAATGAAAGATATGAAAGAATGAAAAGAAAATATACTCATAAAGAAATCTCATCAGAGAAATGAAAACTATTTTTTAAAACAGAAATTCTACAACTGAAAATATAATATCTGAAATAAAAAATGTGTTGTATGAACTTATAAGTAAAATGGAGATGACAGGAAATCATCCGTGAACTTGAAGATCAATAGAAATTATCCAAGAACAGAGAAAAAGAAGTTTTAACAAAAACAAAACTTCAGGGACTTCAGGACAGTATCAAAAAGAAACAATGGAGGCCAGAAGAGGGTGGGATGATATCTTCAAAGTGCTGACACGAAAACTGTCAACCTAAAATTCTATTTTCAGCTCAAATATCCTTCAAGAATGAAGGCAAAATATAGTTTTCAGATAAAAGGAAACTCTGAGAATTCATTACCAGTGGATCTTTACTATAAAAAATGCTAAAGGAAATTCTTCAGACCAAAGGGAAATGGTACCAAATAGAAACTAGGATCTTCAGGAAGAAATAAAGGGCATTGGAAACAGACCTTATTAAGTAGGACATTGTATATCACTAGATAGAATGCAAGGCTCAAAGCCTGAGACTTTGAAGCAGTCAGTACATTGCATCTAAACTTCCACCATCACAGAAGTTCTGGGCAGCTGTCAGTGTTCCTTCAAAGAGGAAACACAATAGCATTAAATAAGTAATAGTAGTAGGCAAATTTTGGCAGTCTCTAAACCCAATACTAAACCAGGAAATTAACTTTGAAAACTGAATTGAAGGAATATTTTTGAAAATGTTACTTGGCACACAGTTGCTATAGAGGTGGAAGCTTCCAGGATGAGAATTTCCTCTCAATTCCCATATCTCAAGTGCACCTCTTAATAGGTCTCTAGAATAAGTAAAGCTACTACAGAAGACAAAGAACTGATCAATGGTCATTTTCTGCATGTCTTGTCTCGTATTAAAAAGTTGTATCAGCTTAAAAAAACTATTTTCATTTGATATTCGTCACCAAGTTATCAGTTTGTTAGACATCTGTTCTTATGTTTTTATCTCCCCTTTTCTGTGTTAACATTGAATATTTTGTGTGACGTGGGTTTCTTTGTTCTGAGTTTATGGATGAAACAGGTATCAGTAAGAACAAAGCCAATTGCATAGTCTTTGGTTTCAACCAGAACATGCTAAGGAATGGGAGACTTCTGGACTCTTGGCAGAATAACAGCAAAAAAATGTAATTTATGCCTAGCACATTGAGCTGATTAATTGAAAATATCTGCTAAAATAACTTCTCCACACTAGGGTGAAAGTGGCAGAATTTTGTGTATATGTATAAAAGTTGTAGGGAGATAAGATTTAAAAAGAAATGAAACTAAATTCATTCTGCTTTCAATCACCTATGAACTGTTTTACAAAAGGATTAGAGAGTCAACTAGTCGTCATCACTGATGGCAAACAGTTCAACTCTTCTCTCCTTGTAATCATATTTCCCTTCTGGATGTGGGAGAAAAAGCCTTTCTAAAACAGTAGACCCTAGGCCAGACTCTCTCAAGGGAATTTTTGTGGCCCCTGGAGTGGACAGTTTAACCTCAGAGCAGCTGCTGAGGAGTGTGGTGTGCAGAGCAGGGTGGGGAAGACAAGGAGTGTAAAGATTCTACTGTGAAACCCCACAGCTGGCTGCGCTCTACTTTCCCTGCTCTGCCCTGATTCATCTTTCAATGGAAGGGAAACACCAAAAAGAGCCTGAACATGGGCCTCCTCCACTTATGTCTAACCCTTTAACATTCTCTCTCCTACAAGGAAGATAGCTCTCCTTTCCGTGAACACAAGATTTGACTCTTATTGTTCTCCAAATTGTGTTTCATGCACAAAATATACTTTCAATATTCACTAGTATTCATTTATTGAACAAACATGTATTGAATGTCTGTTTTACACCAACATGAAGAAAAATCGAGTGTGAGCGTGTGAGTGAGCCATATAGCACAACATTTTTTAAAATCATCAAAGAAAGAAAAAAAATAGTCTGAAATAAGTGAAACTGTAGGTACCTTACATGGACCGCATCTGCATCCCAGGAGTTATACAAGCTTCTCATACTAAAACATCTTTCACTAAAGACAAGTTCACTACTGAAAATTATAAAGCATGTGAGGAAACAAACCATGATGAGAAAGTCACCATATGAGACAACCAAGAGAAATCACATCTCAGGATCTCCAACTAATAGAAAAATATAAAAGATTGTAAAATAAGTATACTTTAAATCTCACCCAAAAAAAATAATTGGGGAAAAAAGTACAGGTGATAATTTTAAATGAACCAAATAAAAATGGTGACAATTTAAAATATAGTCATTGATATAAGAATCATAGTTAAGTTAAATAATGGACTAGACACAGCAATGCTGACGTAGTAGAGCAAGCAAAGGAAATGACCCAACACAAGGAAAGAGAGAGATATAATGCTTGAAAAATATTTTAGTGACATGACACACAGGATGAGGAGCTTTAACATGCACTTAATTCAATTCCAAAAAAGAAGACTGGTCAGAATCGGGAAGAGGAAATATCTCTACATTTGAAGAAAGACATATGTCCTAGTGTTGAAAACACATTGTCTCCTGAGCAGAATTAAGCTTTACTTCATACATTGTCATGAAAATGTAGAATATCAGCAATAAAAAGAACATCCTAAAATAAGCAAAGAAAAAAAATATTTATTACCACTCCTTGGCAATGAGACTGACATCAGCACCAACAAATGCCAGAAGACTTTATAATCATAGCTTCAAAGTTAAGAGGGAAAACAACTGTCAAGCTAGAATTTTACACCCAGCTAAACTATCATTCCAAATTAAGGACCTGATGAAGAGTAGCAACAGAAACTGTGATCAAGGCTTTCAGGGGACAAGCATAGAAGATACTGACAGTTCCAGCTCTCATTGTGCTCAGAAGACTGTGTGAGTCACCCAGGATTCTCTCAGTGGAAAAGAGTCAGGTCTGAGGAACTGGACGTATTGTTGACCTTATTAAGTGGAGACTCCCAGACAAATACCACTGAGGATTTTATCCAGACACTCAAGAACAGGTAAGTCTCAAAGAGCAAGCACTATCTTAGCTTTAGTAATCTTTACCCATCTGGAATTTCTTCATTAGTTTGAGAATTGCAAATATACACACACTAGGAAGGCAGAGGGCCCAGCTTAAACTTACACTGTGTTTACCCTGAGATGCAAACATATACGAACATCATGGTCAAGACTTTCTGTATGCAAGGAATAGAAAACCACTCCATGATTCTGGCTCTCCCTACCATATGCGTCTTCATCAAGTAAAAATTGTTTCCCCACCCAGACCCAATGGCACATGAATTTTTAGTTAAGTATTGACTACCACCTAAGCAGAAGATATGTTTCTCTTAGTTTAAATTTTTCTCAAGAAAGAAAATCAGATTGACCACTAGCCAACGAAAAATTTTTCAGCTCTCTGTGAAGGTGATCCTATCAGTTATGTCCCTGTGTAACAGGAACTGTTGGCTTGCCTACTCAACATCCATTCTACTACCATCACTTTTTCTAGTTAAAGAAGTGTATCCACTCTCCCTCCTATGGCCCTATCTCTAGCTCAAGGGATATATTCTGTTTGGCTTAAGTCAATCATTGTGACTCATTCCCCTTCCCAGTGATTGGTTTAGGGGATGGAGCATACAACCCAGTTTTGACTAGTGATTCATAAAGGAAAGCCTTGGAAGATTCTAAGAAATGTTTCTTTGCTCCTAATGAGAAGACAGTAAAACAGACAGCCCCATCCACCAATATACACACACACACACATACACATATGCACACACACACCTTCTTCCTCCATCTAAGCATAATCATGAGTAGATGTGATGATTAGAAGTATTGAAGCCAGGTTGCTACTGGCCTGAAGATGAAGGCAACACATGGAGGAGGGCAGAACAAGAGAAGCCTAGGGAAGTGGAGCCAGAGTTCTAATTTATGTTCCTCACCTGCAGAGATCCCATCTCTAAAGTTTTTGTAATGTACAACAATTAACTTCTTTACTGCTTAACCCAATTTCAGTTGGGATTTACTATGACTTAAAGCCAATGCATCCTAATCAAAACAAACATGGACTCCCAGGCCAGGAACGGACAGGTACAGCTCCCACAGAAATATCCACTGTGCCACTTGGGTTTAGTAGACTTGGGGAGCATAAGGACTAAAGAATGTCCTAGAAAATCCCATCTCAGAGGAAGAAACGTGAGAAAGAACAAGTTTACTTCAAGATGAATAGGGATGATTCTAGATGCAGTGTAATGGTTGTCATTTGATTTTCTTCTACTCTCGTGCGCATAGACTTGTATCTGAGCTCCAGGGTAAATGCACTGCAGAAAGAAGGGAAAATTGTTAACAACGACTTCACTAAAATCTCCATGGCATACTGAGACGTGCTGGTAGCTTTGGTGCCATGACTTAGCTGTGTCAGGAGACTAGACCAAAGTTTCCTGGGAGGGAGAACAGGGTCTTTGAATCTTGGTTATTAAATGTGCACAAAAGTCTCCTTGTTTGGAGCCAGGGACAACAAATTGTTGGATCTTAAATGCCAACTCAGACTGATTCCACTGACTGTGGTTAGAAGGACTCAGGCATAAGAGAATGCCAAGATCAATGAGCAGCATCCGTCATGGATCTGGCTGGGGAATGGCAGCACACATGCCACACACTCCCCCTCCTGAATCCCTTCCGAGACCTCAGCCGACCACTCCCTGCATCACAGCAAGGATGCGCTCCCTCCAACACCCCATGTTACACATTCGAAGATCTTATGTTTTATTTTTTAACTACTCTTAAGCAAGGATACACTTCCTAAAGTGCACTGTCTCCAACCAATCCAGTCATCGTCGAACAATCCACCAAACCCAAGAGCCATTCTCATCACATTTATTGTCCCTTATGCTTCAAGGTACTTGACAACCCTCAACTAGTGCTTTTTCGTGAAGAGCAACAGCACTCTACCTCGTGAATTTCACTTCAGAATTTTAGTACTATTGTTATTTTTAGGATTATTCTTGTCTTCTTGCTTCATCCTAAAGATTTTAACCATGAGTAGCTTTGACATGCTTCAAAACTTCTTTTGTTCTTTCAGGGAGCTTGTGGAGAGGGCCCAACTTCACAATGCCCCTAGGAAACAAGGCCATGGAGAATCCTTTGAATTTCCTTCCATAGATATTTCTTGAGTACCTACTTTTTACCAGGTGCCATGGCAGATGAATAAAGAAGAAAGAGAAAGTATCATTTGTTGCGATTCTGCTGTGCTGTGCAACGTGTCAATACCATGCTGGGGACTTTGAAGAGTTTCAGCTCATTTCATTCCCATAACAACCTCCCAAAGCATCATTATCACAATTACAGCTGAGGAAAGTGAGGCTCAGGGAGTTACGTGACTAGCCCAGTCACTCATCTAGTGATTAGTGGAGCTGGGATTTGAATCATGTCTAACTCAAAGCCCATGGTGTTTCAATGCTCCACGACATGGGACCACCTGAGAAGAATGGCTCACAGGAACGAGGGGAAATTTCCTGGGAAATTTGGAGTCAGAGCATTTCCTAGCGAGCTGTGTGAAAGCGGGCCAGTTACTAACCTCTCTCAGCCTCAGCGGCCCTGTCAACATGGGCGAACAACTACCTTGCAAGGTTGTTGTGAGGATTAAAGATAATATGTGTAAAGCACTTAGCAGGTGGCAAGCAGTCTGTAAAGAATAGCTATTGTTATTCACAGCTCTGTAAATCAACATTTCTTAAAGAGGCAGGGGTCATTTTCCTACACACCAAATTTTCAGAATTTGCAATGGGTATGAATTATGAAATTTAGCATCTAAGTTAAGATTTTGCTATATGGTTTTGAGAAGGTACATGGTTGTCTCAAGAATCTCAGGAAAGTTTGTAAGAAGAGAAAATTCCAAATCAGAGGCAAGTTCAGAGACTTGCTTTCCTACTCAAGTCCTCATTCAGCAGAGATACTGCCAGAAATACCAAAAGGACTCACCATTGTTCAAGTCTGCTTGTGAATCTGCATGAAAATTGATAAAGAACATAACCACGAGTCTGGCCCCTGGAGTAGGCACCGCATCTCCAGTGAGAGGAAGGCCATTAGCTAACCTGCCTGGAATCCCACTGCCAATCTTTACAGAAAGGCACAAACTCGCATTGGCTCAGGCTTTTGTCGGTCCCCGGGGAATGCTGACTTTGTCTGTTAATGCCACGACAAATGTGTCCCTGAATGCGCGAATCAACAAGACACCTGTCTCTGCATTGAAACCTGATTAAAAGCAAGTCCAGCCCCTTCAATTCTCTCAGGGGTCTTCACAGTTTCTAAGCTGTTTAGTCCTTTGTGAGTCAGTAATTTCTACTGCAGGAAGACTGTCCTGGTTTCTTCTAGTGATAATCCTTCCGCAGCGCAGCGTGAATATTCAGGGAACGGGCTGCCTCCCAGATAGAGAGCAGATCCTTGCCTAAGTGGAAGGACCTATAGGAACTGAGAACGCACCCCATGACACCCAAAGCCACCCCCAAATAAAAACTTTCCCCGTCTGCTGTCACTGATGCTGTAAAGTCTACTCTGCAGGCCAAGTGGCACAGGCAGGCAGCACTTCCCCGACTTCATGAAAAAATCCCTTAAAAACAGGGAATAGTGGGGAGGGTTGCACAACATTGTGAATGTACTAAAAACTACTGAACGGTACACTTTAAAGTGCTGAAGTTTATGTTATATGAATTAGATCTCAATAATAATTTTTTAAAAATTTTTTAAACAGGAAACTCAGCCCCTGGAAACTTGTCCTCGGGGGGCCTGGTGGACTCAGACTCAGGGAGACAGCTCTAGGTAAGGATTCTTATACGCGTGGCATTCTGCTCCATTATATATCTGTATTTGTTGTAACTTTTAAGAGTTAAAATCATTTATCGGTTAAAATGCTTAGCTTTTATCCCCTCAGATATTTAAATAAAATTGATACCCCAGGAGGACGTACCTTAGTTTCCTATGGGCTTGGAGAACCTTGTGGCAGCATCACTTGCTTGTGAGCTTGAGAGGCATGAGAGGAGAGCCAGGCTTACCAGAGTGTGATCCCCAGATGTGGATCTTAGCATGCGATCCCAGAGTGTGGATCCCAGGGTGTGATCCCAGGGTGTGATCCCAGAGTGTGATCCCAGGGTGTGATCCCAGAGTGTGATCCCAGGGTGTGATCCAAGGGTGTGATCCCAGGGTATGATCCCAGGGTGTGGACCCCAGGGTATAACCCCAGAGTGTGATCCCAGGGTGTGGATCCCAGGATGTGATCCCAGGGTGTAGATCCCAGGGTGTGATCCCAGGGTGTGGAGCCTTGCTGTGGGACCCTGGTCTGGACAGGTCACTCAGACAGCATCCACTTCCCCCCCTGTTAAATCAAGAATTCAGCATGTACTATGCCATGAAACACACTCAAACAAAACAATATGCTTTATGTCACAGGAATAATTGACAAAAGACATAACAATAACAGCCACAACAGCCCCCAAAATACCACAGATACAAACATTCACGCTTACCAGAGGGTATTTCCAGAGTTGATAGAACTTATCCAAGGACCTTCCTGAGGAAGCAAAGAGCAACATTTAATGGAAGGTTTCCAGAAGAAGCAAGAGAGAAAGCTCCCCAACCCGGGAATGGAGACCTGGTCAGGCCCAGGTTAGGACAGACTCTGCAGATGCAGATGGAAGAGATGTCCTTCCCGCACTGTGGATTCAGACCGTGTGGTCAAAAATAAAACAAACGTTGTCTTCAGGATGTACTTACGGGAAAAGCGGTGATTGTATCAAACAAGGGACCTAACTGGAAGGATCTGCGTCCATCCTGAGCCGTCAAACCGGAGCTCACCAGCCTTGCTTCTCTTCCTGTGCCCGGCGTTCCGGGGGCTAGGGCTGCCTCCTCAGCTGCAAATGCAGACGCAGTCATCTTGATGAGAAGGGCAGGAGCAATCCATGGCCCAGCCGGGCAGACGAGGGGCCCCAGGCCTCATGGGGCTCTACTCTTAAATGCCTTCCTTGAAATTTTCTAAGTCCCCCTCCAGGGCGCGGAACTGGCTGGAGCCACCTGTGCCATCTGACAGGGCTCCTCAAGCCCAGGCCAGGACGCAGAGAACTCAGCCCGTTTCTCCCCTTCTCAGTGGTTTCTGACTCTCTATCCTGAATGTGGGGTGGATCAGATGCACAAAAGAGCTCTGGGACTTGTGCCTATGTGCCCCCAGTTCCAGGACAGCAGCCAGGCAAGCAGACCACGCTAGTTGGTGCAACATTTCTCTGCAGGATCATGCAAGATTGGGCCCCTAAAATGGTACTAACATGCTGATCTGGGGTGACACTTACTCTCATTTTTCACAGAATAATTTCAGGGACGTGTGTGGGCCCATGTGTCAACTCTCATCCTTCCATGTTCTATCCTCAGTGCCACCTCAGATCTACAACATCAGAAGCAGCAGGGGTCATTTACCCTGTGTGCCCCCGACTGTCGGCACCCAGGGAAGTCTCCCATGCTCTCACAGGCTCCATGCCAAGTGTCCAGAAGCCCTCTGGGGGTGGTTGGTCTCACCTGTATCCTCAAAGGGCTTTTGAGACTGTTGCTTTGCAACACAAATGGGCCCTCTCTTGCCTCCAGTCAGCATGGTGACCTCGTGCTCTCCTGGGTCAGTCTTAAGCCATGGCAGAGAACACCATACGGACTTGCCTTGCACGAGGGACGCGCCTTGCTCTTCTCACTCCACCCCCACCCCCTCGTTTATCCTCCCTGCACGCAACGCTGTGTCAACTTTGAAAGAGACCACATTCTAGAAACACAGTTATTAAAGCCTAAACATTTTAAGAGAGGGCATGATCAAAAGACGTGTTCTACGTTTACGTTACAAAATTCCAAATGGTAAATTTAACAAGAAACAGAAAATGACTATTCTCATTTTCCTGTGTACTCTGGGTAAGATTTGTGTTTGTGCTCATTAACAACAACGCACTGTGACAACATTCGAGAGAGTCCTTGGAAGCCGGTATTCACAGTGGGCACGATACAGATGCAGCACCAGAAGTAACAATGCGACAGCATTCAGTAACAGGCAGCAGGGAATTGCAGAGACAGGCAGATCTATATTGTTGCAATACCAACAGCCACAGCATTGGGAGCAATAGCAGGTTGCTGCCTTTCCCTCATGACGAGGGGTGTGAAATCAGCCAGGGATGGTGTATTTGACAATAAAGAACACGGAGAGACGGTTCCTGGACCTGAACAGGATGAGATGGTGTCAGGTCACTACAAAGAGTCTTCGCACACACTGACTGGACAATAAACAAATCTGTCAGTACCTCTTCTCCACCTATTTTTCTAGGCTGCTATCAACAAATCACTAGGTCACACATGAACCCATGAATTCTGTAATTCTTTGTTTTCATCAAATTGTTTATGTAGACAGTCTCATGAAAAATACTTGCCCCAGGGCCCCGCACACCCTAGAGGTTCCCCCGGCAGGAGTGCTTCTTTCTGAGGCAGAGGAGTGGCGTTTACGGGGCAAGCCGGGCAGACACGTGCTTGGGGAAATGGCTTCAAACCTGAGGGTAGGAGAACCTGGTGACGGGTGGAGGTGCTTGTCCCCTTCAGATAATCGTCATTAGCACCCAAGAGCCTCTCCAAATATAATAAAAATAAGTTTTAAAAAAGAAAAATGAGCAGACCAAATGTTTGAAAACTTTAGGCTAATGTCAAAAGGAAGCATAGCAAGGTAGTTAAGGACAGCAGCTGCTAAAGCCAATTGCCCTGGGTTCAAACCCTGCCTCTGTCATTTATAGTCATGGGAGCTTGACCCTGTCGGAGGCTCAGTAGTCCACTCTGTGCAATGGGGAAATAATAATTTCTCTCGTTGAGGTACTTATTGCACACTAAATGCCCGGTCAGTGTGAGCTGCTATTATTTGTTTTGCAAATGGAACTGGCCAACCATCTGCAGAAAAAAATCCTAGAACTGCCTCTACAAAATCCAGTTAATTACCCCATTTAGCTTTATATTCAGTATACTTCAATTTTTTTTAAGTTTTTTAAAAAGATAGGAAGCCTCCGATTTAAAATCACACTGTAGCACGGTAAGTATAGACAAATCACATCACCCCTTACTTAGAAACACCGTAGCAAAGTGGTAGAACTGCAGGGATAAAGAGAACATCTTAAACTTAACTTAAGCAAAAGGACAGATCGACTACAAAGCAACAGCATCTGGAGTGATGACAGAGTTTTCCAGAACACAGTGGAACCGTATCTTTAACGTAATGGTGGAAAGCGGTTCTCATCCTAGTATTCTATACCTAAATATTCTATCATTTAAGAATGAGAGTGAAAATCTTTTCATTTTCTATTTTCACTTACTCTAACGGCATACAATCCAAGCAAAGCACGGAGTGTTCCTCAGCTCATGCAACTTCACTGAGGCCTCCAGTCCTCACCCCCCGCTCAGACTGGCGCCCCTAAACCCCTTCTAGGTGGAAACTGGCAACCCACCCATGTGACTAAAGAATGTGTTGAGAATGCCTGAATCCACACTCTAGAATGAGGAAAATACACAAGGTTATGGGGTGTTAAACCCAAGTATGTTTGCCACCTAGCCTTCAGCAGCTAAAGGGTAGAAATTTTGTGATCATTTATATACAGCCACACTCCAAATATTGTTGCTCCAAACCTCTACACTTTTGACTAATAGGAAGTCCCATTCTTTGCTTTGATGCCCTCCCTAAACTTCTCAGATCTCTCAGAATTTACATGAAACCTATATGCCCCTAGACCTACCCATCTGTGGGTCCTGGGTAAGGCAGTGTTCCTTCCCAGAGTGCCCGGAAAGCCCCACATATAAACAGAACCTCCACATGCACCCACCTCAGCTCTCACCTCCCTGTGACCTGCCGCCCCTGCTGGTCTCATGGATGCACCTCATCCCCTCCCCTCTGGAGTCCAGACCACCCTTTCTGGCTTCTTCCAGGCCACCCTCAAACTCCTGTCTACACCACTGCCACACACCACCTGCCTCTGCCCTCAGTTGCTCCTTTCTCTCTCTCTCTCCCAAGAATGGGGCTGCCTTCCCCTTCTGAGACCCAGCTCTCTCACAAAGCTGTGTGGCCCCCTAGCGATACAGCTGCAGACCCCATAATTCCTAAAGGGCTTTTTCAAAAGTCATTTCATTTCTGCTATACATTAACCACAAAAGAACTAATTCTAAAGCAAAAAAAAAAAAAAGACAATTATGTGAAAAATGGCTCAGAACCATGAAATAGATGCTGATTATAAATACAGGCTTTAGGCATTATGAAACAAGGCAGCTCTAAATTTTCAAAGAACAAAGAGAAAGCATGAGGATTTTTTAAATATCAAAAGGACTTTCAGGTTATAATTAGTAAATTGACTAACGTTTTTAAAGGTAAAAGTGAATTTCTAAAGCTTAAGGCATTCATGGGATTCTAGAATTCTCTAAGTCTAGGAGATCATCTCTGCCAACCTCCTCACTTCACAGGTGAGAAAACAAAAGGTCACATGACTTTCCCAAGGTCACAAAACAGGTGTGTGGCTGTCAGGATTCAAATTGGGGCTCCTGACTCCCTTCTTCAGGTCCTTTCTGCTCACTCTAAAGTAGAAGCTGCTTTCACAAATGAGCAACAATCCCCAGAATTACATGGATAAATTTGTGGAGGTGGTAATGGTGGTGGTGGAGGTAGAGGTGGTGGTGATGGACGAGGTGGGATGCATATGTGCTGGCAAGTTGAGGAGTAGGGGGCAGTTCAAGGGCAACTCAGGACATGTCAGCCAAAGCTGAGATTCAGTTATAGCTGAGTAAATCTAAGAAATTGATGGAACAAGGAAGGAGATGCAGCATGCTGTTAGTGCCCTCAAGACTCCTAGCAACCCTGTTGTCGACGAAAATAATCCATAACCAATCTATAAATGAAAATTTGGGAGAGTTTATTCTGAGCTAAAATCTGAGGACCATGGCCCAGGGCCTTTCTTCCCGAAGGAAGAAAGGGCACCGAAGAAGTGGGGTGCACAGAGTGGTTATATACCCTCAAACAGGATGTTTCACATATGATTGAAATGTCCCTCCCACAATAGTCACAAGATTGCCCTGTCGGCACAGCGCTTGATGGACACAGCAGGTTGTGGGTCTGCTATCTCAGCGGGCGCAGCAGAAGGCAAGCCTATTGTCTCGAGCTGGGTGGTCACAGGTGAGCACAGCAATCAGTTCCTAGCCTAAGGAAAGATGCCTTATCCTTAAGGAAATGCCAACGTTGGGAAGGGGAGGGAAGTTGCACCTCTATCTCAAGGGCCTTTGTTCTTGCCATAGGGAGTGTCTAAAGCAGACATATAATGCATGCTCAACAGCCACGGTCAGGCCCTTTTGGAAAGACAAGGTCAGGCCGAATTAGGTTTATACCAAATGGCTTCCTCATATTCTCTAATACATCCTATTACTTGCCATTTCTGTTTGTCACTGTGCACAGCAAAGCAGAAGCCTGCCTGGCCTTTTTTTGTGCCATCCTCTCATCTTCTGGCGCTATGTCAGACAATGCTCAGCTGCCATTCATAGGGTTTTCATGGCCAGTTTTTTCAGAAGCAAGTGGCCAGGTCCTCCTTCCGAGTCTGTCTAGTCCATCTAGTCTAACCACTAGACCACCAGGTCTGGCTGCAGCAGGTATAAACAAGTTAATTAGATGCAAATATAAACAAAATGAGACACAGTGCAGCAACTTGCAGAAGCAATAAAGTCCTAAGGATTTCTCAGTGTGGGGTTGCCATGCATGTTGGATATTTCCTGGACAGGGAAAACCTCCCAACAGTGAGGCTCCTTGAGAGCACAGGCTGTGGAAACTCATCGATATTTGCTGATTGCCCCTTCCATGCAAGGGTCTCAGCTAGGC